TCTGAATCTTACACAAGGTGCTGCGTCTGTGCTAATGCAAAGTCTGCCATTCATCTGGGACTCGGCTTAGTCCCTCGGCGCTCGGGACAGATGCTCTGGGTTGTTAATACTGCACAGCAACAGGTGGGGGGGATTTCAGCGAGGCCTTTTGGGGCGCTTTAGCTCTGCAGCCTTCGCACAGCTGCAGAGGAAGATGAGAGGAAAAGTCACAGCTCTCGAGTCAGAGACCGGATCCAAGTGTAGGCAGGAGAAGACCCGGGTAACACTTGCAAAAGGATCTAAGGGACCGAGTCACGTAAGTCCCATGCTCAAAAAGAGGGTTGGCAATGTTCCCTCTCATCTTTTCCATCCATGTGCGGTATAAATGTGGATATGCGCTGAGGCATGTAGGAATGTGCACCACCCGAAAAAAAAAACCCTAGCGGCGGGCGCGCTGCTAATTGGCTGGGCGGCTCTGGAATGTCTCCTGAGCGACCGCACAAGGCCACAGCTCACGGGAAACACTCAGGGTTGGGCACCTATGTCAACACTGCAACAAAAAGACCCACAGCAACAGAACTGCGAGTCCCGGTCAGCTGGCTCAGGCTTGCAGGGCAAAGCTGTGCAAGAGTTGCCTCTTCTTGGCTGCAATAACATGGGCTCTGATGCCTCCTGTCCTCGCCCGCCTCCCCCGGGGGCCTCGGCTAGTGGGCAGAATTCTTCTGGCTGCTTCCTCTTGCCATCGCAATGCGAAACCCCCTTCCCTGTCTCGTTTGAAATGGGGCTCGGGCTCCCTGCACATTGAGGAGCTGCTGAGTGGGCACCGCCCCGTGCCCGTCTTGGGAGGCGGTTGCCCTGCTGTGGCTAAAACAGGGCCCGCCTCCCGTGTGGACGTGCGGCGAGCCCCGGTGAAGTGTCTCCATTGGGTTTTGCGCTGGTCTAGCTATAGCAATATAGCTGCATTGGTGCAAATTTCCCTGGGCTGCCTAGAACGGTTTCCCTTAGGCGATGTCTACACTTGCAGCTTCTTGCGCGAGAAATATGCAAATGAGGCTAAGCGTGGAATATCACCGAGCCTCATTTACATGCCTAATGAGCCGCCATTTTGCAGAAGAGGCTCTTGCGCCAGAAGGAGCTGTCTACACTGTCTACACGGCCCCTTCTTGTGCAAGAAAAACCTTCTTGTGCAATGCCGCTACGCCGATTATTTTCAGGAATAACGGCATTGCACAAGAGGGGTTTTCTTGCGCAACAAGGGGCAGCATAGACAGCTCCTTCTGGCGCAAGAGCCTCTGGCGGCTCATTAGGTATGCAAATGAGGCTCGCGATATTCCACGCTTAGCCTCATTTGCATATTTCTTGCGCAAGAAGCCGCGAGTATAGACATCGCCTTAGAGAGGAAGGGGTAAGAGCATTCACCTGGAGACCTGGGTTCTGCCACCGCCTTCTCGTGTGACATTGGTCGAGTCACTTAGCCGCTCTAGCAGTGGTTATGGGGAGGTACTCAGCAATCTCCAACAAAGCACGTTGGAGGCTCAAGGGACTGTGGTCTTAGCAGTTAGAACAAGTGTCGGAGACTCAGAACACACAGATTCATGTCCCAGATCTTCCACACGCTCCCTGTGCGACCTTGGGCAGGTGGCTTATTCTCTCCGGGCCGCCGTCCCCAGTCTGCAAAATGGAGATCCCACTTCTTCCTGCTCTCACAGGGGGATGCCAGGATAAAGCCGACGATGTCTGAGCGGCATGTAGATCCTGCTGTGAGCAGGGCGACAGAAGCAGCTAGCTTACAGACTGATCAGCGGAACTTCCCCCCGGCTCGGGAATACTGGGTTCAAACGCAATACACGTGCAGGGCTCTCCTGGAGCCTGTCAGACTGAGATCAGACTTTCTCATGGCACCAGGGTAGCCTGTTACAGCCCCTCGGTGCGCCACCCAGCCCTGGTCAGCTGGACGTGGGGTCTGCAACACGAAGCCACGCTCAGAGGTGAGGATCTGGATTCTGCCACGCCAGCCGGGCTGCCCTCTAGCCTGGGGGCAGGCAATGGAACCCGAATCCGGCCTGTGTTCTGGAGTAAGGCCCCCAGCCCCATCGATAGTGATCTGGCTTTTGTCACAGGACTCCCCCACGTGTGCTGGTTACCGTAACCCCCCCCCTTTGTTTTTTCCTGTGGCAGGATCCCCCATCGGAGAAGGTGCAAAGCCCTGGGGTAGCCCCGCCCGGCCGGCCCACCATGGTGCTGCCCGTGGCCAGCAGCAGCATGGAGCTGCAGCAGGACAACGGGCTGTGTGTCCGCAACCACGTCGGGAACTGCTGGCTGAAGCGTGAGGAGCCTCGGAGCCGGAGGAACTCCATCCCCCCGGTGCAGACGCCCACCGCCAAGCACATGCTCGCCTACCTGCCCCGGCCCCCGACGGACACCAGCCGATACGGCACCTTCCCGCAGAAGGTAAGATTCCAGGGCGCCGTTGGACGTGCGGCTCCGCCTGGTGCAAGCAACAAGCCCCGCCCCTTTTCCTCCAACTCCCCTGATCACCCTTGGACCACGTAGCTGGGAAGCAGAACAATGGGACAGGCCTGGCCCCCGTCAGCGGGCAGGTCGTTCCATTCCGCCTCGCTCGCTTTGCCCCCGCCATCGCGGTGTCACCCGGATCAGGAGTCTTCTGAACGGCCTGTCTTGTGCTGCTGGGCAGTGGGAAACGGCCGCCGGGCTGCTCCCAAGTGGGGGCTGCGTCTCCGCACGGCTAGGTCGGACACGCTGGCAGAGCCCTTTGGCTGAAGGGCGCTATTGGGGTTGCCAAGTATCCGGTTTTCACCCGGACAGTTCGGTATTCGGGTCCCCTGCCCAGTAAAAAAACAAACAGAAAATACCAGACATATGAAATGTCCGGCATTTCCTGTATCCCTCCGACAGAAGCCTGACGGGACAGTTTTCCCATGCCACATCTGCTGGGGGCAGGGTAGTGAGGAGCACAGGGCCATTTAAAGGCACAGCGACCTTCCCCCCCCCCCCCAACTTAGTTTGCCATGTTTGGGATTTTTGTTTAAAGCAGCTAGCAAGCCTAGGCCCTATGCAAATAATATTGGCTGCAGCCAAGCCTGGAGTATATTGTCTAATAGGGTAGCCAACTGTTGGACTCCACTCTGGGTTCATTCTTAAAGATGTTCAAGGGACTTCCTGACCAAGCTTAACCGAATTTCTTGGCTAGAGACAAAGCAGTCCAACGCAACAAGGGGACATCCCTATGCCCCTGCCTGTAAACAGTTCTTATCTCGCAAAAGATGTGCTTCAAAGACATGTATTTCAGTTACAGATTGTCCCTTGGTGATACCCATAGGGGGAACCGGCTCGGGCGCCCCCGGAGCAGTGTGCACGTGCCGTGCTATATAGGGCACCTCCGGTCCCCTCCCCCTCTGTTCCTTCCTGCTGCCAGTAAGTGATTGAACTTGCCCACCTCAGTGTTTGCTGTCACTCCCTTTTCCAGTCCATTGCACTCTGTTTTCCCTGTAAATAGTTGCTACTGTTAGTTTACTGTTGTTCGTTAGTTAGCGTTCGGTACCATAGGGACTACGCCTCAGGTTGGGACATGCCCCGGTGGCTGGGCTTCAAGTCCTGTTGCAGTCGGCCCATGGCAGTGAGCGACCCCGACTGTGGCTGTTTGGGGTGCTGAGGAGAGAGGCACATTTGCAAATGGATTGTCTTGCACCAGAAAGGACAGGGGCATCGGTCTTGAGGCTCTCCCAGTGGAACCCGCCTTAGCTCTGGTGCATGACCCATCACACCGTGCACTGAGCACTAGCATGTCGGTGCACCGTGCCCCGCTAGTGCTGTTGGCCACCCCGCACGCGTTAGCCCAGGAAGGGTAGAGGCAGATCTCCGGGGCCTAAGAAGAATGAGCCCAAGATGCCGGCCGCCAACCTCCAAGGCCCCTTTGGAATGAGGCTCTCCGCCCCGCTCTCCGAGTAGCGTTGAACACCCCCGAGAGCCCTCGACGCCAGAGGCCTTGCAAGCGGCCCAGGACATCATGTCAATACAGGGGCTGCCCACACCTGTAATCGCAGGACCACGCCATAAAGGGAAGCCTCCCACGGCACTGCCCCGTTCTCTGGGGACGTGGCTCCCTTTCGAGAGGGACATCCAAGGTCTCCTCTGCAGGGGGAGGGAGGCGCAGAGCCTGATGCCGTCCCCTGAAGGATAAAGGTTCCACAAACGACTTGAGGGAAGACTCTCCGAGACGGAGGTGCAGCTGTCCAGTGGCATGTACCCTACTAGCATAGATGCTCTACCTGGGACTGATCCTCACCACAGTCGGAATCTCATTCGCCGGGCAGGTTGCTGGTACCACTCCATACAGGACCTCCCCTCTGATGGCATGGCCCTGTTCAGGCCCACACCACCCCCTGCACACTGGCATTATACCTCCCGGAACCTGCACAAAATTTAAGCCACAAGCTTCCCTTCCTCAGCCTTACCAATCCCGACAGGACGTGGGGCGGAGCAAATATAAGGGGTTCAGGAAAAGGCCTCAAGCGTCCTCCGAGTCAGGCTCTACCCATCCCCCATCCCTTTTCAGGGACCCTTCTGAGGACATGCAGGAAGTCGAAGGGTTGCTGTGAATCGGGGCAGTGGAGGAGGGTCCCTGCTCCAAGAACCAAGGGTTTTATTCCCTGATTTTTTGGATCCCCAAGGCCAAGGGCGGACTGAGCCTCATCCTGGACCTTCGCGACTTGAAGGTGAGGCTCAAATTCCGTATGGTCTCCCTGGCCTCCATCATCCCCTCCCTGGATCCAGGAGATTAGTGCGCTGCCCTCGAGCCAAAGGACGTGTATTTTCATATCGCCCTGTTCCAGGGGCGCCGTTCGTAGTAAGCGCCAGCCACTCCCAGTTCACTGTTCTCCCGTGTGACCCCACCACGGCCCCTCAGATGTTCACCAGATGCACGGCGGCAGTGGCGGCCTTTACTTTTTACATTGACAGAGCAAAGTCGTTCTGTAAGTCACCCAGCTCCTCGTCGAGAATGAAGCTCCCAGTACCCGCACAGAGGATCACGAATTGGCTAACTTCATGCATTCAGATGTGCTCCCAGTTGGCACGGGCCAGTCACCCCCACTGCTCAGGGCACATTCAACCAGAGCGCAAGCCTCTTCCGCAGCCTTCCTCGCCGACGTACCAGTCTAGGAGCTCTGCAAAGCCGAGATGTGGTCCGCCGTGCACACTGTGCCATTACACAACAAGCGAGGGAAGAGGGGGCCCCGAGGTGCTCTATACAGCATGTCGTGTGTGTGCCACTCTAGGGGGCATGTGAACCAGCTCCCCTGTGGATACTGCTAAGGGACAATCTTCCGGCACCAGTGCATGTGGCGAGCACACACACCTACACTGAATGGACGTGAGCGGCACATCTCAAAGAACAACAGGCTTTCTTTGTTCTGCACGTCTCTGATCTCTGCTTTGGAAATTACGTTCAAAGCCAGCTGGGTGCAGAGATGCATCCCAACCTGCGCCGAGACGCACCTTTCTCATGTCTTGGCCCCCACGGGCTTCCTGTTTTCTGATGCCAAGACGGACTTCAGCCTGGCAGACGGCTGCGGAATACCTGACGTCACGGACGAACAGAATTGTAGAGTGAGAATCATTGTCCGTTAATGTATCTTCCCAATTCTTAAATCTGCCTCGTGCATCTCTCCAGTGTATATTGTATTAATACTGCATGCATAATGCCCATTCATGTATATTCATGTGGACTGGAACGTGCCCAGGCGTGGGTGGGTGGCTGGCGAGTCTAAAGGGTATCGAAGTGCTGAACAAGCTGCAATGAGTTTGCCCTACATAACAAAATTCTTGCCATTTCCCCTCCATTCTTTACCTCTTGCTTCCTATTTCCCATCCCTCTGGTCTCTTTAGTCATCGGTTGTTCCTGCACAGAGATGAGGCTTTTACTTAACTTGGTTGTAGTGAGGACTGGGGACTCCGTCTGGTCTCAGTGTTAATAATTGTGTGGGGGGAAGACAGCAGCTAATGGCCCAGCTGGGACGGGGGCCCCGTTGTGCTGCACTGTACACCCAAAGAGTAAGGCTTAATTAGAGCAGACAAAGGATTGGCGGGAGAACAGGTACGTGTCTCTTGACTGGTTCTTTTCCCCTTGCAGCCTGAGATGATGGTCGTCCCCACAGCTCTCTTGGAAGAGCGCCAACAGCAAACAGACCCTGCGGCTGAAAAGAAAAATGCCCTGATGTCAAACTTCGTCCCCCGCTCCTATGGCTCAAACATCCCCAATGACAGATCAGCCCTGCCAAGGAGACTCAGTATGGTGGAGCAGACCAGCGCAGGGGCGGTGGTACCCATCAAGCACCGGCCCAGCGTCTCGATCAACACCGAAGATCTGCCCAGGTACCGCCGGGCGTCGCGCAATGATCCCCTGCCTCCTCTCCGGGACATCAACACCCGGTGGTACCCACGGCACGCGCTCAGCGTGCCCAACATCCCCACCTCAGCCCGAAAGAAAACGCCTACCCGGAGCTTCGTATCGGTGCCCCCCTCGGAGAAACCTCAGACCCGGCGTTGCAAGCTGATCCACGATGATCGGCTGTTCACCACCGCCAACAAGCAGCAGCGGCAGCGCTACGTGACCAAAATGGGCAAGTGCCAGGTCAATCTAGGCCGCATCCATGAAAAGAAGAGGTTCCTGTCTGACATTTTCACCACCATTGTGGACCTCAAGTACCGCTGGTTCCTCTTCGTCTTCATGATGTGCTACATCATCACGTGGGTGGTCTTCGGCATCATCTACTTCTTCGACGCCTGGGTCCGGGATGACGTCAACCACATAGGAGACCCGGAGTGGAAGCCTTGCATCGAGAATGTGGACAATTTCATATCTGCCTTACTCTTCTCCGTGGAAAGTCAACGGACCATTGGGTATGGTTCCCGGATTGTGACAGCCAATTGCACCGAGGGCGTCATCTTGCTGATGGCTCAGTCCATCGTTGGCTCCATGATAGACGCTCTCATGGTGGGGTGCATGTTCGTCAAGATCTCCAGGCCCAAGAAGCGTGCCCAGACCTTAATATTCAGCAAGAAGTGCGTCATCTCCCACCGGGATGAGAAACTCTGCCTGATGTTCCGCATCGGAGACCTCCGGGACAGCCACATGGTGGACGCGAAAATAAGGGCCAAACTCATCAAATCTCGGCAAACCAAGACGCTCTCATGGTGGGGTGCATGTTCGTCAAGATCTCCAGGCCCAAGAAGCGTGCCCAGACCTTAATATTCAGCAAGAAGTGCGTCATCTCCCACCGGGATGAGAAACTCTGCCTGATGTTCCGCATCGGAGACCTCCGGGACAGCCACATGGTGGACGCGAAAATAAGGGCCAAACTCATCAAATCTCGGCAAACCAAGGAAGGGGAGTTCATCCCCTTGGAGCAGTCGGAGCTGAACCTGGGCTATGACACGGGGGAGGACAGGCTGTTCCTGGTGGAGCCGCAAATCATCTGCCATGTCATCAGCGAACACAGCCCCTTCTGGGAAATGACGGCGGAGTCGCTGAAGAGGGAGCAGTTTGAGATCATCGTGATCCTGGAGGGGATCGTGGAAGCCACAGGTGGGTGCTCTGAGGTGGGCGTGGGAAGGTGTTATCCTCCCACCGCTCAGGGGCTGCTCCGTACTGCTAGGCCCAAGGGGCACTGTTATTGGTTTTCCTTCCTTTCCCCAACTACCGGGAAATGGCTGGCAAGGGGGTCAGGGGTCCGCATTGGTATGACATGCCCTCCTTCTGCATCCGCAGCCAGTCTCCTCAGGGCACCCATCAGGGCAAGGAGCCCTCCCTGCCTCCCAGGCTGGCTGTGGGGTCTGAAAAGTGCATTGAAGGTGGGACGCTGGGCGGTGATGAGTATTATTAACCCATTGCTCTGATCCAGGACAGATCCAGGGTGTCTCGCAAACAGGTGGGGGCGTGGGGTCGAGGGCCCGGCAGTGCGATCTGGTGCAACGGGAAGTGCCATATCAGACTAAATGGCCCAGTCACCTGACCTAGATCCACCTCTCCCACTGGTTGGTCCCCTCATCTGTCACAGTGAGGCTGAGGGCGGAGACCCCCCTAGATAGTCTGTCCCCCTGCTCTAGTGAGGTGGGGCGGACGTGAACTAGGCGCTCTCAATCCCTGCATGCCCATCCACAGCTACTTAACACGCTTGAGCTGACTCATGGATTTGTTTGTTTGAAAAACATCCAAAACAAACTCTTCAGGCAGCCGTTGGCACCTGGGCAGCTGGGCAGACCTGGATCTCATGGTTACATTGAGCCTTGGCACCATTCCTGGGGACAAGGCAAAGAGTCGCTGGAGTACAGACTGTCCTTGAAGATGCAGCTCCAGATGCTATGGCGGGACATGTCCTTCACCTTCTAGGTGGAGCGGGGCAAAAAACAGATGTTTTGGTTCGCGGACCGTTTTTGAAAAGTTGAAACTAACCATTTTGGGTCATATTACAAATGAACGTTGAAAACATTTCCGGTGATTCAAAAAGTGAAAGTTACGAAAAAAAATTCACTTGCCCCCAAACTAAATATTGGTTTGATTGTGAGCGTTTTTAAATGCTTGGAATGTGTTACACAAAAATAAATGTCAAGGAAATTTCAAAACGGAAAGTTGATTTGAGAGAACCTGAAGTGTCTCGTTTTGAAAATGTCAAAACCAAACGTTCTGATTTCTTGGGTTTATTTTCAGAACAATTTGGCAAAACAGAAACAAATCCACGAAATGATTGTGTCACCAAATGAAATTGTTTTCCCCCAGGGAAACATATATTTTGGTGTCACAATTTCACCCAGCCCTGCTTCTATGTTTTACAGGCCCTAGGAGTTTTAGCCAGTTCTCTCTGGTTTCACCACCCTTGTAGCGGCAGTGATTTTCAGCAGCCTGTCAGTTAACCCTTCTCTCTGAACGTCTCTTAGAGTGTGGGCTCCCCGTTGGCTGCTGGTGAGTCTCCCTCAGCCCTGCCTGGAAGAGAAGCACCATTAGGAGTGAGAAAGGAATCCACAATCCATGGCCCAGTCAACACCACGATGGCAGGCAAAAAATGAGCCAGGACAAGCTCATCAGTCGAGCGGGCTCTGGGGAACAGTATTGAACCCTTCCCCTTGAGGTCATGGGCGTGAATTGGGCAAAGGTGGGTAATGAGGAATGGCCAACAGTTAACGCCACCGGATGGTTGCTGGCAGCCAACGTGAGGCCTCTCCATTAATCAGTGGAAAAAGAGGGGCATTGTGGAAACCACCATCGCCTCTGGAACTGGTTGGCCTCCTTGCTGGCAGTCTCAGCAGAATTGCTGTGCACTGAACGGGCCATGGAGCCTTCTCTGCATGTCACAGCCGGTCCCTCCGGCTCGGGATTGTAGGTCATTGAGCTAACGTGGAGGAAGCCTGCTGTGGCTACCCACAGGGTCAGTCCGGCGCTTTTCACCAGCATGACATTGACTTAAAAGCGGTAGGGAGCTAAGAAACGGTGAAAATAGGCCTCAAATACTTACCATGAACGCATTAGAGAACGGTAGGGAGCTAAGGAAGGGTGAAAGTAGGCCTCAAATACTTACCATGAACGCATTAGAGAGTAATACGGTTCAAGACCACAAACTGCCAACTCCCATGATTGCGGAGAGGGGGCACAATCCTTAAAACCCCAGACTCTGGAGTCACAAGATGAATGAGGATCTCCACTTTTGCCTTCATAAACACTCATTTTCTAGCCCTCACGGTTGCTGAGAAAAGTGTGAAAACAGGAATCGGAAAGACTCCAACCCAAAAGGCAACCAGGACAAACCAGAAAGGGGTTATTTTTAAAAATATCTGTATTTGGAAGCCCATCTCCTGGGGTTTTGTGGGAGGGGAGGAGTGTGGGGAGAAGGGGGGCTGCTTTGTGATTTTTAAATGCCTGGGGTTGGTGACATTGGAACTGTGTTCATTACAGGTGTGTGGATGGCTGATCTGATGCAACACTGCCCAGCTGCTGGATATGAAATTTTCATTTTGATATTTGAAGCTTCGTTTTCCTCCATCCCTTTCAAAACCCGAGATTTTTGTTGTTCACCAGTTCCCCACCCCTCCCCGCTGTCTCTCTTTCCCATACCTTCTCTTAGACCACCCAGCATTTCTGACTCTTCTGCCCTGCTCCCTCCTTGTAGCATCCTTCAGTACAGACTTCCCAGCTCTGGAATAGGCTATCAGATGAGTTGAGCTCCCTCTGCTGGTCTTTAGCTCATGGGCTAAGTTTTCAATTTTCATGCGTGTCTCCCCAGTGTTTCAACCACATTCAACATGAAACTAGGCTAGAACGAATTCTAGAACAGTCTTGGGTGGGACTAGATGGATAACGCAGGAGCGTCAGAAAAATGGTGATTTAAAAGCACAAGTTGGAGGTTTCCATCTATAGTTAAAACTTGGGTGAGACTGTTTCCTCCCCAGCGGGGGAAAACCCTGCTGTCTTATAAAGCAGTCCGGCCCATTCTGAAGATAACAATAGCAGGGGAGGTTTAGATTGGACATTAGGAAAAAATTCCTAACTGTCAGGGTGGTCAAATATTGGAATAAATTGCCAAGGGAGGTGGTGGAATCTCCCTCTCTGGAGATATTTAAGAACAGGTTAGATAGACATCTGTCAGGGATGGTGTAGACAGAGCTTGATCCTCTATTTTCTTGCTCGCTGTCAGAGGGGAGGCAAGAGCTCCTTGCAATCTGGTGGCAAATATTGACCCACCATTTCCAAAGCCTCTCCCAGTGCCTTATGGATCCAGTTCCTCCCAGGGACCAATGCAGACTTGTTCTGCACAGAGCATCCCCCAGAAAAGAATTCTCTCGAGCCTCGTTTCATGGTGAAACATTGGAGAAACATGCATGTAAATGGAAAACTAAGTCGCTACTGTCAATCTACAAGAGTCTGACTGCAATCCTGGAAAAACTCCCGTCATCTGAAGAAGTGGGCTGTGCCCACGAAAGCTCATGATCCCATTGACATGTTTTGTTAGTCTATAAAGTGCTACCAGACCATTGGTTGCTTTTTAAATTTAGCAATCCTAGGGCAAGTCAAAGTTTGAATAAAGGAGAAAGCCCCAATGGCCGAAAATCACAGACACAGTTGTTACACTAGCCCAGTGTTTCTTATACTGTGCTTCACGGCACACCGGTGTGCCACGGTCCAGAAAAGAATTCTCTCTAGCCTAGTTTCATGGTGAAACATTGGGGAAACATGCATGTAAATGGAAAACTAAATCACTACTGTCAATCTACAAGACTCTGACTGCAATCCTGGAAAAACTCCCGTCATTTGAAGAAGTGGGCTGTGCCCACGAAAGCTCATGATCCCATTGACATGTTTTGTTAGTCTATAAAGTGCTACCAGACCATTGGTTGCTTTTTAAATTTAGCAATCCTAGGGCAAGTCAAAGTTTGAATAAAGGAGAAAGCCCCAATGGCCGAAAATCACAGACACAGTTGTTACACTAGCCCAGTGTTTCTTATACTGTGCTTCACGGCACACCGGTGTGCCACGGAGAACAACAGAATTCAAAATAGCCACCCTTAAAGGGGCAGGCAACCTTTTTTTTTTTTTTTTTTGGCTCAATAACTTCCCCCCTGATTCTTTTCCTCCCACCCCCGACCTCAACAAAAAATCCTTGGTATTCCTCAAAAAAAAAATTATTGCTTGGTCTTCCTCGGTCTAAAAAAGTTTAAGAAACACTGCTCTAGCCTGTAGCTCGGAGCCAGAACAGAAATGGTGTCCTATTGTCTATTTATCAGTATTTTGCCCAGTCTAGTTTTTAATATCTTGATTTGAGTGCTAGTAATGTAGCTCGGAGCCAGAACAGAATTGGTGTCCTATTGTCTATTTATCAGTATTTTGCCCAGTCTAGTTTTTAAATCTTGATTTGAGTGCTAGTAACTGCTCAAATACCCATTTAGCCCAGGAAATTTACCATTGGGAGGAATTCCCAGGTGGTCTAGACTAGAGGGCTGTGTCTACATTGGCATCCCTTTCCGGAAAAGGGATGCTAATGAGACACTTCGGAATTGCAAATCCGCGGGGGATTTAAATATCCCCCGCGGCATTTGCATTTACATGGCTGCCGCTTTTTTCCGGCTCGGGGTTTTTGCCGGAGAAAAGCGCCAGTGTAGACGCGATTCTCCGGAAAATAAGCCCTTTTCCGGAGGATCCCTTATTCCTACTTTCAAGTGCCAGCTGGTTCAGAGGAAGGTGCAAGAAACCCTGCAGCTATGGGATAACCTGTCCCCAAGCAAAGTTTCCTCCTGGCCCCATTAGTCAGCAGTTATCTTCTGCCCAGGAAACATGTGGGATCACATCAGTGCCATGTCCCTTGAACAGCGTGCAGTGCAACGCAACCTGCCCGGCTGATGGTCCTGACAGCACATGCTTCTTTCTCGCTGCAGGAATGACATGCCAAGCCCGCACATCGTACACGGAGGACGAGATCCTTTGGGGACACCGCTTCGAGCCCTGCATGACCCTGGAGAAAGGCGCCTTCCGGGTAGACTACAGCAGGTTCGAGAAGACGTTTGAGGTGCAGACCCCAGCAGCCAGCGCCAGGGAGATGCACGAACTGAAGGAGATGGCACATCAGGACCAGTCCACCCTGAGCTTATATTGGGACCACTTGGTGCACCCCTGCTTGTCCGCGGAGCTGAATGACGTCCTGCTGGACGAGTGCCCCGGGGAGGAAATCCTGGCTAGACTGGATGCCTCTAACATTCTAGAGGAGGAGAAGAGTGCTGAGTTCCAGACCCAGCTCAGTGTCTGAGCTCCCCCCAGAACAGAGGGACTGGAGGTGCCTCTGTGGGTATCTTGTCTGCCCCAAGGAACAGGGCTGCAACTTTGCATCCTGAAACATCCCTGGGGCAAGGTGCATGGCTGCTCTCCAGCCAACCTGAACGTGCATTGAAGTTTCCTCCAGTTAGCTCTGGGGTGGAGCCGTTCTTGTGCTGCATCTCTACAATATAGGCACTTAATGCTACCTTGGGGATGGGGGAGTAGCTGGGGCTGGGGCCATGTGGAACAAGGCCTTGGGCTACACAGCCCATCCTGAAACATCCCTGGGGCAAGGTGCATGGCTGCTCTCCAGCCAACCTGAACGTGCATTGAAGTTTCCTCCAGTTAGCTCTGGGGTGGAGCCGTTCTTGTGCTGCATCTCTACAATATAGGCACTTAATGCTACCTTGGGGATGGGGGAGTAGCTGGGGCTGGGGCCATGTGGAACAAGGCCTTGGGCTACACAGCCCAGGGGCTCATCAGCTATTGATGGTGATGGTGGAGGACGTCACCTTCCCGGCCAGGGTAATGCGATGCCCCCCGCAGCTATGGGATAACCTGTCCCCAAGCAAAGTTTCCTCCTGGCCCCATTAGTCAGCAGTTATCTTCTGCCCAGGAAACATGTGGGATCACATCAGTGCCATGTCCCTTGAACAGCGTGCAGTGCAACGCAACCTGCCCGGCTGATGGTCCTGACAGCACATGCTTCTTTCTCACTGCAGGAATGACATGCCAAGCCCGCACATCGTACACGGAGGACGAGATCCTTTGGGGACACCGCTTCGAGCCCTGCATGACCCTGGAGAAAGGCGCCTTCCGGGTAGACTACAGCAGGTTCGAGAAGACGTTTGAGGTGCAGACCCCAGCAGCCAGCGCCAGGGAGATGCACGAACTGAAGGAGATGGCACATCAGGACCAGTCCACCCTGAGCTTATATTGGGATCACTTGGTGCATCCCTGCTTGTCCGCGGAGCTGAATGACGTCCTGCTGGACGAGTGCCCCGGGGAGGAAATCCTGGCTAGACTGGATGCCTCTAACATTCTAGAGGAGGAGAAGAGTGCTGAGTTCCAGACCCAGCTCAGTGTCTGAGCTCCCCCCAGAACAGAGGGACAGGAGGTGCCTCCGTGGGTATCTTGTCTGCCCCAAGGAACAGGGCTGCAACTTTGCATCCTGAAACATCCCCGGGGCAAGGTGCATGGCTGCTCTCCAGCCAACCTGAACGTGCATTGAAGTTTCCTCCAGTTAGCTCTGGGGTGGAGCCGTTCTTGTGCTGCATCTCTACAATATAGGCACTTAATGCTACCTTGGGGATGGGGGAGTAGCTGGGGCTGGGGCCATGTGGAACAAGGCCTTGGGCTACACAGCCCAGGGGCTCATCAACCATTGATGGTGATGGTGGAGGACGTCACCTTCCCGGCCAGGGTAATGCGATGCCCCTGGCGAGGTCACTTGAGACCTCTAGATCCAAAAGCGTAAGCATCTACTGCCTGCACGACATGACCAGGTTTGCCTGCTCCAGGGCAGTGGCGACTGCACGTGTCTAGCGGAGCGTGGCAGAGCACCCCTCTTGTGTCGGCAACAGGAGAGAAAACGATGCAAAACGGAGACAATCCTACTGATACGGCCCTCGGGCTGAGTGCATTCTCCTGCTGCCACGCCGTGTCCTTCACGTACTGTGGGGACTCAGAGCTGTTGCTTCCCCCCCAACGCAGCTCAGGCCTCACATGGAAAGTGTCTCACGCTGACAGTGCCATATGGAACTCTCTCTGTCTCCTTCCTTCCTGTCCCCAGCCTCTCCGCACATCCAGCGTCTCCGGCTCGCGCTGCAGCTAAGTGGAATTATTTTTGCAAAGTGTCTTGTGATAAGGTCACAGAAAAAAAAAACAAAGTCAAGAGGTGATTAAAATCACTTCGAAGCACAGAGCAGGGTTGTGTTGGTGTGTCTCCGGGTGTGTGCATTGGGAGGTCAGACCTTCAGTCTACAGCACCACGGGCTGGTGTGAGGGGCTGAGATTGGGAACCGGAGCCTTTTGCCACGCGGATATTGGTTCAGAACTGAGCTCCGCTCCTCACGAGTCTCAGGCACCTCACTCCCCCTGGAATGAACAGGAGTCGAGAGCATGAATGCCTTGGAGGAGCTGGGCTTCGGTCCCTCGCTCCCGCGCTTATAGCGGGAGCAGGCTGAGGCACGGCCAGCGACATGCCTGCAGGTCTTCACGGTGGGGGAGAGAAATGCTGCTGCAGCTGCTGGTGCGTGTGGTGCAGCATTCTAGGAACCGCCAGTTTTTGCGGCAGAAAATATGCTAATGAGGGACTCATTTGCATGAGCTGTGATCTCATTTGCATATTTTCTGCCGATCCAGTTTTGCGCTTGCTTGTTTTTGCGCACAAACAAGCCACAGGGCCATTTTCTTTGGGCGCAAAAACCCTTTTTTGCGCAAGATTCTTATGCTCAAAAAAGGAGGTTTCCCTCCCCTCCCCCGAACTGGTTAGGCTTCAGCTTTGCTTCTCGTCAACCCCACGTGCAGCTCCACTTCCATTGGAAACATCTTCTGTCGTTTCCATCCATCCAGGCACACGGGTGGGGCTGGGCGGGGGAGAGAAGAGGACAACTGCCTTAGGACCTGGGGCTCCTGGCGACTGACAAAATGGCCGTGGCCAGAGCCACAGGCTCTGTAACTCACCACTACAGCGCTGCATAGTCTGCTTCGCACAGCACTGCAAGGAGCCCCCAGCCCTACCCCATCCAGGAGCTCAGAGCTACTGCCCCCTGCGCTGAGGGGCCGTGGCTGTCCTGCCTCCATCCATTAATCACTGGATTTGCCCCCTCCACAGAATAAAGGAGCAAATCCATCTGTACTGCTTCTGCCCCAGCCTGTATCTAGTCTTATGTTAATAGTGGGAATGAAGTTATAGTTTTCATTTTTACTGACAATCTGGCTCTTCAGCTCACATGTATAAAGCCAACGCAGCGGGCCATGAGATGCCCAAGCTGCTGACTGCAAGAAACTCCGTATTTCTTTGCAACTGGAGCTGTAGGCCATATCATTTGTCTGGGACTAGCATATAAACATGTTAGCTGCGAGCAGCAGCCTAGGATAGTTATTTAATGAAAGCGAAGGGGAGAGGGTGTAGATAGGTACTGTTAAAAAAATCTCACATGACCAAAGCAAGTGTGAAAGATGGCCGGCTGCAGCCTTAACACTGGTCCTTTCCCTCTCCTCGCTGTATCGGAAGGCAAAGCAGCAGGGCTTGCACTGTCTGAGATATTTGGCATCTCTGCATGCTTAGAGTCTGGTATATGCAGCAGGGTCACCATCAGATGTACAGATTAACTCCATCCATCTCCTGCATCCCGTGCAACAGCTGAAATGGAGAGGGGAGCTAACAGCTGTTCTTATGAGTTCCCTGCAGTTGCGTAACAGAATGGAAAGTGGGTTAATCTGTTTCCTTTGCCTTTATTTCATAAAAAGGGGAGATTGCTAAGGGTATTATCTAAGTCATATGTTCCTTGCTGTGTTCGCCGGGTGGGATTATCTCCAATATTATGCAAGCAACCGAAAAGAACCCTATTTACCACTCGCTGATCCCAGGTTTACTTGGAGCTGTTTTTAGTTTTTAATTGTACTGAAGTCTGCAGGGAAAAAATTGCCAGTCTGATACAGCTACAATCTGTGCATGCTCTAGTCCCTGGGCAGCTGTATCTCTAGTTAATCCCCTGTCCTGTCCTGTCCTGTCCTGTCCTGGCTAACCCCTCACTCCACATGGAAAATACACTCCCGCCTCTCCGTTCAGCAACAGCACACAGCTACACTGTGGAGGAGTTGCTAACAAGCAGCTTAAAGACCTGGGAGGTGTTGCTACATGTGAAAGAAATGTCATTTCTTGCATCCAGCTATAGAATCGCAGTAGTAATGGGTCCTTCTAACCCTAGAAGCAGCCACTCATTGGCTGTGTCTAGACTGGCCAGTTTTTCCACAAAATCATCTGCTTTTGCGGAAAAGCTTGCCAGCTGTCTACACTGGCTGCTTGAATTTCCGCAAGAACACTAACGATCTCATGTAAGATTGTCAGTGTTCTTGCAGAAATACTATGCTGCTCCCGTTCGGACAAAAGCCCTCTTGCGCAAATCATTAGTTCCCACCAGCTACACTGCTGGGGCAGGCCCTGCATACCCAGGGCTCAGGTCCAGCAAAGGCCAAATAGTATTTAAAGGTTACCTGCAGCATTCTGTATCTTTCACTGTGCAGGTATACAGCTAGCCTCGAAGGTTTGGCTCCAGAGCAGTGATACTCGGCCCTCAGTGGTTGAGAGGCCAAATTAGCAATCCACATGACCCAAGAATGACAGTGTGAATTCATTCTTTCACGTTTACATATAAATCTGCAGTAAATGAGATGGAAAATATTTATATATTCCCACAACAGCCATGGCAAAAGCATCCTTATCACTCAGAGGACCTAAAACAGTGCTCCCCAACCAGTAGATCAGGATCTATGGTAGATCTTGGAGCCTCTGACAGGCGATGTTGACTAGTTTAGGCAAGAGGCTATCAGGCACAGCATGGTCAGCTGCCCTTTCCCCTCTGCTGCTCATCTCCTGCCCTTTGCCGTGGAGCTGCCCCTACCTCTGGGGAGCCTTCTGCTTTCTAGGCAGGGCAGGGAAGGAGGAGGAGGGTGCTGATGTCAAGGTGCCCCCTCCCACTCTGTATCCTTTCTCCACAAAGCAGAGAGGGGGGGTACAACAGGACTTGGGGTGGAGTCTGCTGGCTGCTTTAGGGAGTGGTAAAAGACCAAGGGGGTGAGCCTGCCTTAGGTAAGCAGTGCCCAACTGGAGTCCACAGCCTGAAACCCTTCCCCAGTCATGAACCACTTCCTATACCTGCCCTAGCCTCCCAGAGCCTGCACCTAGAGCCCCCTTCTGCAACCCAACTGCCTGCCCTGAGCTCACTCTCAATCTTACCCCAAGACCAGAACTTGCACCAACCCGCTGCCCCAGCCTGGTGAAAGCAGGGAGGATGGAGGGGGGGGCAGGGTGTTTGGGGGGGAGGTAGATCTTGCATTGCACTTAAATTCAAAAAGGGATCTGGAGCT